GATAACTTTGATTTTTATTTTTATTTTTTTAATCAAAAAAGCACAATTATAAACCTGAGTATTTTGCTTTTACATTCAAATGCTTTCATTTGTTTGAGCTACCATAAAGACTTAGGTCAGCTGTGACATGGTTGCCTTGTCTGGCTCATTTCTTATGACACAAATTACTTACTGAACTTCAAATATTAGGAAAAAGATATCCTCTGTGCCTCAGAAATACCAGTTACTGTCCTCTGGTGTGTGTAAGGATACTGATCTAGTCAGGCTAGTGTACTGAGCAGATCATGTGAATTCCAGATCCCATGATTTGAGAAATGGAGTCTTTGCTGTTTAAAATGGGAAATCACACGATGAAACACAGCTCCTTTGGTAGTGTTGCAAACGGCAGGAACTAGACTACATCTGCTTAGGCCAGCCAAGTCCACCATGAATGGAAGGTTTCTACTCATTAAAAATGAAAATTGCAAGACAATATTTAAGTTCACAATTTACTACAGCTACATTAACATTAAGTATGTTTCTGTGTACAAGAATTGCGGTAAATATCCTGTTTACCAAACAGAGCTTCTTTAAGCATGGAATTGACTGAAGGGACAGATCTCATCCCTGTCAGAGAGCACTATTTGAATTCGGCAATGTTGTTAAACCATTGTGGGCAGCGTCTCTCTCACAGAAAGAAAAAATGAGAATTAAACTCCAGTTTAGCAATTCAGGAGCACCTCAAAGAGTTGTGTTGGAAAGGGGAAGAACTGGATTCCAGTCTGTAGTTATCAGAGAGGAAATGGAAGACCAGTAATACCCACTTTTGGATTTTCTCTTTCTGACTGAACTCCTATCTTGCCCATGTGGAAGCAAACCCAGAGCAGACTGGGAGCATCCTGTGCCTTGGAAGAACCAGCTACTTAGAGGCTGTTGCTGGGAAGTGAGTGATAGGGGTCAGTATCCCTACAGCAATCGGGGCATCAGACTGTGATCTTCAACTTGATGAGTGACTGTTTTGCTAGATAAGATGTCAAGACAAACTTTGGTCCCTGCCAACATATGTGTAGGTGCTTCATATCTCCCTTTCTGAGGTGTCTGTTTTTCCTGATGGACTACATAAGAAGCCCATATCCTATAATATTACAAGGCTTGGGTAACTTTCTAAAAGCTCTGCTGTTTCTCAGACAGAAAATACATTTTTTTGTGTTATGCAGTAAGGAAGATTGAATAACTGCTATGATCTTAAACGGTACTTAAAATCTTGTATTGAAGAGGGTGGAGGGCTTTTCAGAGGGGACTATCAAAATAGAAGCCTCCTTAGATGTATTCATTACTGCAGAGAAAAGGACATGTCAAATAGCCAGGGAGTTCTGATACCTGTGTTTTATTTTTGGAAAGCATCGGAACTCTTATTTCTAGGGTATTTTTGTTCCCTAGGCTTAAAGAAAATTTGTTGCCCAGTGAATCTTCCTTTCCCAAACTATCTTTTCTGAAACACTGCATATCCCAGAATGTAGATTTGGATTATATTTATGTAAAAGGGGCAAGGTATGATGTGTGGGCATATGGCTACTGTTCCATATATAGATTATTACCTTCAGCAGTGTTAACATTCCAGCTGCAGAGATCACTCATGCATATGTATAGTCCTCCAGGAACAGAAAAAGTAGGATTATTGCATGTGTCTGAAAGTCTTAATTAACAGATTTCAGCAGGCTGAATGGTAGGTAAAACTTATTACAAGCATCACTTTAGTAGTGTATCTGTGAAAAGTTACATTATGCAGGAGGTGGACTGTATAATTACAATGGTTTAAAATCTTATGAAAAATGTTATCCACTATTTACTGGGTAGAGATATATGACGTATATTTTTTGAGCAAGATGAATACAGAGCTGCACTGGACTTCAACCTGCCTGGAAGCAGAATTTGGACTTTCTTTTCTTCTTCTGCTCCACTTGAATGAATGGAGTCAACAGCAGAAAATGTGAGCTTTTTTAGCAGGTGAAGTGCAGGAAGACATTTAATTAAATTAAAGCTCAGAAAACGTTAAACCTATGAAAGGAAATACTTTTTTCTTGGCTCCATGTAATTTATTTTCATCGTTTCTTGAATGCATTTCAGATACAGGTATATAACCAAGCTACTGGACTCAGCTAACCAACAGACATATTTGTCATCTGTTTTGCAGCAAATGTTAACTGCAGTAACTGCTCAAGTGCTTGCAAACTCCTCACTGGAAGATTACCTTGCCAAACTTGTCAAATTCCTACAGATTTATATCACAGAAATTGAGCATTGGCATTGGTCCATTCCAGCCACTATTGTGGAGGTCTGTGACACTACTCTGCTCCATTCCTTTTGATCACAAATCGTAATGGGCATCCTCCCTTCCGACCAGAAGAAGAGCAGGATTAGCAGAGTCCATATCACTAGTTGTGGTTTATTGCCTGGCAGAGAAAACCTGGCTGCCAGATGGGCTATTGAAAGGACTAATAGAATTCACCTCTCATCTTCCAAGATTGTCAGCCAAAAAGGGCCAGTTGTTGTGTCCTGAAGGTCGTTATCTCACTGCTGACAAGACTAGTGCTGTAGTCTTATCTGTTTAACAACCTTTTGTGTAGATGATGTGTCCATGGTGATAGGAAGCCTGCAGCTGTGTGGACATGATGGTTGTTTCATTGCCTTTTTCTCCCTATGGAACTCTTGGATTGGAGGCCCAAATTCTCCTCTTTTACTTTTTGGTAGCTACTGATTTTTCTTTCTCTTATGTCACTCCTTTACCCAATGATCAAAAGCGTGATTTTGTAAGGAAGACCCTGCTAAGAACCTTTCCAAACGTATAATTCTGGAGGCAGGAGCACTTCCCCAGTATATTTCTTACTTATTGGCCACATTTATCATTTGACTATGTGCAGATAATCAAGGGCATAGGAATTTCACATGAGGATAAGATAGTGTATGCGGGATGGACCATGCCCACAGATCACTATGGGATATATTTTTATAGAATCAGGGTGGTCCAAGGTGCATATGAGTGTGTTCTGTTATGTGCTGGAAAGTTTTTCCACCACTTCAAGGTTTTCCACTTTAAGGTTGCACTTGGAAGTTTTTCCTGCCTGTGTTCCAGCTACATCTCCCTTTGGACAGTGCAGACTTCTACGGAACTGTCCTGAAGAGCATTGGCAGTGACACTGTGATAAAATATGCTTCAGAGTATACAGCTGATGTGTCTTTCAACAGGTATTTTTGCACTTGACTGTATAATGGAATTCAGCTTTTTAGTGAAGGGGTCTGAAATGTTTCTCACCTTTTAAACACTTTTCCTGTTCTTTCTCTGGTATGTTATTAGAAATCTCTACTTAGTGATGTGCTGTTTGTTGTTTTGTGTTATTTTAATGAAATGGTATTCCACATATGGTACTACACAGTTGATTGCTACATTTATCTAGGCTTCAGTTTTGGAGTGGCCTGTGGATGCACCCAGGAGTTCCAAGTATCATGTATTTATGAAAGCATTAAGTCAAGACAAATTGTTTTGAAATGCTATACAAATAATGATCCTGAAAACTATATTTCACTGGGTTTATCTGTGCATGTGACAACTGTGCTAAAATAATCTGAGAGTGCTCCTCCGAGTGAAGTTACTGCTCTCAACACTCCTGACAAACAAAACAATTTCTTTCTTTAGTAGCACATACTCCTGTTTTATTGTGTCTCTTTCTTGGCAACAGGAATGGGTTTTGAGGGCATGATACCTCAATGAGATCCTGTAGCACATACGATGTTGTGACAAATGGCTACATTGCAGCATAGAATATGACAGAGACTGTGGCACTGTTCCATGGCCAGCACTGCTTAAAAGAAACAAACAAGCAAACAAACAAAACCCCAAAACCACCAACAACAAAACCCCCAAATATCTTTCACTGGAAACAAACAGCAGTATAGTCTTTAGAGAGAGACCTAGAAATCTTCAGGGCGGGCTCTCAGTCCTTGAAAGTTATATGAAATCCTTTTCATACCACCCTGCTTCTTCCCACCCCAAGAGGAAATCTCGTTCTCTGTACAAAACATATTTCTTTATGTTGGTACAGTTGATTTTAGCTTGCAGATTATAAATGCAATGAAGAGCATTACTGATGAAGTTAGAAAACAAGAGTCTATGCTGACATTTGTGGAACATCATTGCCAACAGGCATATGTAAAGATTTACTGTTTATAGCAGTGGTAAGCTATGATGCTGTGCCTCCAGCTCACGGGAGCTGTATATTTTGTTTTTTAATGCTCATTAGTGTTGTAGGAGACTCAGATTTTAAAAGGGTTTGCCTAGGTAGGTTGTCAGTTGGTGATGAACGTAATTGGTGCAGTGAATCTTTCTGACAGCTCACAATCATAATTATTTTCAGAATATCAACAGAAGAGCTGTAATGCATGGTTTATAGCATTTAGCTGGTGGTTTGTGCAATGGTGGGCTTTGTTTTGCAGCTATATCTACCACACCAAAGCAGTTTTCTATTCTCTCACCTTCTGTGGCATGCTCCATCTGCAATCTGTTCATACGACATACTCCCAAAGCTGTGGGATTCACTAAGATTGCATGGATGTAGCTAAAATCTACAATTTGGTGACAACATTTTTAATTATGAATTTCATAGCTATAGCATCTCTCTATAGAAATCAGAAGTTTAATTACACAAAAGCAGTGCTAATTAGGGAGGGAAATACTAGGGCATTAGATTAAATAAATCTAACAGGGAAAAGTTATTCAGTATGCTGGCTACTACCAAATGCTCATGAAGATTTCCCTTTTCTCTCGGTGAGCTGCGATGGGATGCACCTCTTGCTTTTGGAGCTGCTGCTCTGCATTGGCTTGTGCCCGAGCCTCGCACTGGAGCAGCAGCCAGAGCCCTGCTCCGCACTCGTGGCACTCGTCCCTTGTGCTTTTTCCCTGGAGTATGAGGTCTGTCTGTCAGCTGTGAGCCTCACAAACACAGCTCTGTGCATGAAGACCTCTTTCAATATCTGGAGATCAGCAGCCTTGTGGGCCAATCTTGCAACTCCTTGAACTCATGTAGTGCTTGGGCATGGGCAGCTGGCTCCTGCATCAGGCGCTGGGATAGGTTGAGCAGGCTGGCCATGCAGAAGGCCAGAGACAAGACCATCTCCTCAGGCACCATCTTCTTGCTGAAGAGGAGGTGGTGGAAGTGTTTCTCCTCCAGGCAGCAGCACATCTGCCTCAGGCTATCATCCTGCAGCAGCAGGAAATTCCTCCTGTGCCAGCTTGATAGGGGTATGGTAACCAGGAGTTGCATCACAGCTGTCTTCAAGGCATGGGTGGAAAAGTCTGTGCCCACCAGTATACGGGTGCAGAGCTGCAGCTACTTGAGGTGGAAGCTGTTGTGCTAGGCACACCTGGCCATATGCTTGAAGAACTGCATCCCTGTCACAGTGCAGCTCTCCAGCCATGTCGTGCTACTGGTAAGGTGGGCCTCTACTTACTTGAAGGTCAGGAAGGCATCTGAGTCATCCAGCCATAACCCAAACCTCATCTCTATGTAGAGGGTTCTCTTGGAGGCATTTGTCAGCTGGAGCTTTCAGGAGCAGCTGGGGGGCAGCACCGTTAGCCAGCAGTGCCATGACTGAGACATAACCTGCCAGGCTGCTTTCACCTTGATCTGGAACCAGCAGGAGGTTTCCTCCACATTGAGGTAGGAGCCACTGCAAAGGGTGTGTAAGAGGCTGGGCTTCTGATTTCTCCTCCGCTCATCTTGGTGGTGGTGGAGGAAGAACTGCATGTCAAAAGCAACAAGAAGGGCTTCTATAAGTTCACAGGTGCCCAAAGGAACACCAAGGAGAATGTGGGCCCACTGGTGAATGAGGCACAGGATCTGGTGACACAGGACCTTGAAAAGGCTGGGGTACTCAAAGCCTTCTTTGCTTTAGTCTTTACTAGCGAGGCTGGCCTTCAGGAATTCCAGGCCTCAGAGAACAAAGGGTAAATCTAGAACAAGAAAATTGTACGCTAGGTGGAAGAAGTTTAGGTCAGGGAATAAATAAGCAAACTGGACATATATAAATCCATGGGCCCTGATGGGATGACCCCACAAGTGCTGAGGGAGCTGGCTTATGTCATTGTGAGGCCACTCTTGATAATCTTTGATCATGGTGACCGGGAGAAGTGGAGGAAAGGAAATGTGACTCCTGTCTTCAAGAAGGGCAAGAAGGAGGATCCAGGGAACTACAGGCCAGTCAGCCTCACATCAATTCTTTGGCAGGTGATGGAGCAACTAATCCTGAAAACCATTTCCAGGCACATGAACAACAAGAAAGTCATCAAGAGTAGCCAGCATGAATTCACCAAGGGGAAGTTGTGCTTGACAAACTTTTATGATGGAATGACTGGTTTAGTAAATAAGGAGAGTGCAATGGATGTTGTCTGCCTAGACTTCAGTAAGGCTTTCAACACTGTTTCCCATGCGATCCTCATAAAGAAGCTGATGAAGCAGCTGGCTGAGCAGACAGTGAGGTGGACTGAAAACTGTCTGAATGGCTAGGCCCAGACGGTGATGATCAGTGGTACAAAGTCTAGTTGGAGGCCAGTAACTAGTGGTTACCCCAGGAGTCAGTATTGGGTCCAATCCTGTTTAATATCTTCCTTAATGAGCCAGATGATGGGGCAGAGTATACCCTCAGCAAGTTTGCTGTTGACACAAAACTGGGAGGAGTGGCTGATATGCCAAAGGGTTGTGGTGCCATCCAAGAGGGACCTCAACAGGCTGGAGAAATCGGCTGATGAGAACCTCATGAAGTTCAACAAGTCCTGCAGCTGGAGGGAAGTGCAAAGTCCTGCAACTGGAGAGGAACAATCCCAGGCACCAATATATGCTGGGTGCTGACTGGCTGGAAAGTGGCTTTGCAAGAAAAGGACCTGAAGGGAAGTCCTAAAGAAGATGGAGCCAGGCTCTTTCAGTGGTGCTGAGTGACAAGACAAGAGGCAAAGCACAAAAACTGAAACACAGGAGGTTCTGTCTGAACATTAGGAAACACTTTTTCTTTGAGGGTGACTGAGCATCAGCACAGATTGCTCAGAGAGGTTGTGGAGTCTCCATCCTTGAAAGTATTCAAAAGCCATCTGGACATGGTCCTGGGCAGTCAGCTCTAGGTGGCCCTGCCTGAGTAGAGGGGTTGGACAAGAAGACCTTCAGAGGTCTCTTCCAACCTCAACCAGTCTGTGATTCTGTGAAGTTGCCTGTTGGAGCCTGTACAGGGAAGCTAATGAAGGAAGCAAGGTGAGACACTCATCCTTTTGATTTACTGCTTGTGGTGTATATGCACCAGGTTATCTTTCTTGAAGTAGCTCTATGCAAAATTTTTTTTTTCCTTTTTGTATCTGACCGAACTAACTTTTAGGCTTAGAGGTACTTGGGTTATGTACACAGACACAGATGGCTCATGAAGCATAAAAAAGACAGCTATAAAGAAGAAACTTCATTGCTTTGTCTTCAGAAGTGATTTTTTTCCCTGTAATTTATTTGCTGAAACATCTAAATATTTCTAGATTGTGTCTGCTGTCCCCAAAATATACTAGAAAAATGGCATTTTTTTGCTTGGAACTTGATGCAGTTTCTTGAATACTAAAAAAATCTGTTCATTCATTACCCCCACCAGCCCTTACTGATATAGAAGTGACGCCCACAGAAATAGAAGTGCTTATTGCCTTGGCTGTACTTTGTACTTCTAGTCTTGAGGTTCCAGACCAAAGAAATCCATTTATTGCCTTTTTCTCTATTTTATATATGAATGACATATTACTATATATTATATATTGAACATGCAGTCTTCACTTGATAGAATACAGAAGATCTTTAACAAATGCTACAAAGATGAAATCTTTCCACTGTACTTGAGTACAGAAATGTCTCAAGGAATTTCTAGGTAGTCTGTTTTCTGAATTTTTCTGTGAGGAAATATCAAAATAATTAGAAAGTGGCTGCTTCACATTCAGAAAAAATAGGTCATTTCTGGCTTTCTGTAAAATACAGTATGGAGTGCACATTAGTGCTCTGAGTCATTTTTTTTCGGCCATCTTCAAACCACCACATTCATCTGTCTTTTGCTTTTAATTTCTCAATATTTTCTACTGTTTAAAAAATGCTCACACATGTGACATTGCTCCTACTGGACTTAAATTATTTCCCATCTGGAAATAACATGTAAAATTATAATTTGTTTATATGAACTAGAAAAGAAAAGCAATAATTTTTTGCTTTCATTCAAAACAAAACTGCCATGTTTTCAAAATTACAAAAACAAAGCATGACAAAAAGAGGGTGCATTGTCATTAAAAAAACACCCTCTAACTGTCAACAGACATGCTTTTACTTAAAAGCAAAATAGACCAGAGAACAAATACAAGACTCTATGAAAAAGCTGGATATATAATGGACACAAAATGTTATAGACAGTTTGCAGACCCATCACAATAATTTCATTAATTCTAGTCCATTGGGTTTTGCATTGATTCACAGGCTTGGCATATGACTTTTAGGACTCAATACAGCATGGTATTAAAGCGATAACAGTGCACACTGCTGACTTGAAAGATATTTCAGTAGGGATAGCAGATAACTGAGAGCAGATTCTTAGGTGGTATAATTTCTTGTGGCTCTAATGCATTTTAGCTCTGCTGATTTACATCTGCTGAGAATCTAGTCTATGGGAATTCCTTGATGCTCTGTGCTATCATTCTGACACCTGCCAAAATGTCAATGGGACAATGTACCATAAAAATATCACTCCTTGATAGAAATAAATGTAACTTTAAGATCAGTCATTTGTGTTAGCCAGATTCTGTTCTCATCTTAATAGAACTTTTAAATATCTGTTTCACCACCAGGATAAATGGCTGAGCATTAACTACTGCAAATGAATGCAGAACTATAAAACTTCAGTATAATCATATAATTTATTTCTTAATTTACCGTTAGTATAGAACCAATCTTCTGTTGAAGACGACTGTGTTGGCAATTGGGTGCTATACATCTGACATGTAGAAGTAAAATCTGTATTCCTGAGAATGCAGACTGATGATGATTTTTATCATCATTTTAAAAATACCTCACAAAGGGAAGTAATTCATTATTATCCTTACTTTATAGCTAAAGAATGGGATGTTTAGAAAGGTGAAGTGACTTTTTCAAGAAAGTCAGTAATGGGAAATAAATTATTGTTAAAATGACAATGATATTTTATAATAAATGTCATTTTATAAAATGACAAAATTCCATTACCTTCAGGGAGGTCAAAATTTCCTTTGGATTCTTACATATAACCCACATGTCTAGTTCAGCACCTTATTCACAAGGAAAAGTATTCTTAATCTTTTGCCTAGAGCGGAGCACACCTTTTAATAATAATTCCGTAACTATCTTGGGACTGCGACCAATGATTTCATTAAAAAACAGGGTTAGAATTTGAGTTCATCTTGTTAGCTTTAAGAATAGAAGACTTACAGACCACATAACCTCAGGGCTCCATAATCAACCACTGGCTCATGGACAGCTGTTTGAGGGAGACCCTGTTGAAATGTACTACTTTGCAGTAGCTTAATAACCTGTGTTTTAGGTATCCTTAGGGATTTCTAAGCACTTTTTGACCTTTGTTTACAAATCTCCCCTCTCCCCCCTCCGGTGAAGTGGTTGTTGACTGTGCCACAGGGATCATTTCTTTGTACTGTCTAACGTGTAAGCATCCACAGCCACATAAGGATGTACAAGTGTGGAGCTGTAGACAGTCCTAAACTCCAGTGACTATACAAGATGAGACCTGGAAATGGTGAGACAGTGTAGTCAGCATGACTGACAATGAAAGCAATGTACTATGACCAGCCCCTACAAAATCTTCACAGAATGAAGTAGGATTTCATGGAAAATAATGAGGAAACTTTGGAGGCATATATTTGAAAGACTTCCCCCAAGCATTGCAAACGGCACAAGAGGGAATGCAAATGTAACTAGTGAAAAATGGCAAATTACTTCTTTGGAAATTACTACTGCTTGTTGTGGCAGTAGTCCTGAATAGTTCTTCAATATGGTACTTGTAAAACAGTATTAGCTTACTTTCTGCAGATTGATTATCTCTTACAACATGTTTTTACTTACCTGAGTAGTATCCCACTCTCTGAACAGCTCCAATGGGTTCCATAATAGTGTCTGTTTGGGAGGATTTTATTCTGAGTATGAAACTCAATCTGGAGTTTCACAGCTTTAGGTTTTTTCCTTAGTAGAATTGTCAATGAGTAGGCCTCAATTTAAAAAAAAAAAAAAAGTTCACTTCCAAAACTGACTTTCTGACAAAAGTAATGATGAAATGGATTTAATAAAGATGTGCCATAGCCAGCCACTTTGTTAACAAACAGAACAGTATTATTTCTACAGTAGAATGACACAACTGGTGAGGAAAGTCACACATCCAGCCATAACCAGTCAGTGTGTATTGGTGGCACAGTGGTACCCACTGAATATCTGCAATTGCTTCTCCCAAAAGATGGACCATCTGGCCACTGAGGAGAAATCTTTTGGTCCCAGACCAGTTATTCCGTGGCATGAATTTTTTTTTTTTTTTTTTTTGGCAAGTGATGTGTTTTTTTGAGGAAGGTGGGAATGTACTCTTTGGCCCTCTTTGGCCCTACCTTCTCACCCTTGTCTTTCCTTGCTACTTCTTTTTTCCTTTTCTTTGGGGCTTCTACTGCTTCCCTTTCATTCCTTCCATTGTGGATTTGTCTGCCAGATTTAGC